AAACACTGAGAAAAAGTAATATAGTAGCAATAAAAACAGTGTGAAGGATAACAATGATGATATTCGATTATAATTATTATAATTCAATTATTCAATTTAAAATAATGTAAATCGTTGGTGACGCGCAGCCATGCATGTTTGCGGTATTTCGTGCTGTAGTTAGATCGCTTGGAATCCCAGTAGCTAGAATTTGTGAGATACCGGTCCTCGAATTTTAGGAAGTTGATTATGCAACTACGTGGCACTTTGGACAGGAAACATTTCGTAAAATTTTCAGCTTTGCAGCTTTTCTGGTACCCGAATTAGCAATTTTAAAGCCAAAAATTTTGAAAGGCCCATACGTGAGAACCACGCACGCCTGAAGGCTGAAATTCGTAGCTTTAATTTTTACGTTTGCTTGGAACATCTCCTTAAAATTTCAACATCTCAGCTTTCCTGGTTCCTAAGTTAGCAGTTTTCCTGCCAAAAATTTCACGCATGCTAAGTTGAAATAACCGGACAGGCGCGTACACACTCACACATACATACATACAAATATGCATAAGCAGGCGCATACGTGCACGCCTTGAGTCTCCACTATATGAGTTTTTGCATTTGCACACATGCAAAAACGCACAAAATCAACAAAACAAGAAAATGAAAAGGCACAATATTTGAATAGATGAAAAGAAATATTTTGGAATGTTTCACTTCCCTCCAGACTATTCGATGGGTTGTATTACCACTGTCTCCCTTACTCCAGAGAACTTACTGAAGCTCTGTAAATTGTGCGTAGGTGCCAACTTTCTTGTTTTTGCCAAAATTATTAAAGATATTTGTTAAAAATTGTTTGAAAATGACAACTCAGTGAAGTGGACTGATAGCAATTTTTAGAGGAATTTGGACCATTAACAATGTCACTAACAGAAAAAATGATGCTAAAATTAGCCTGTAGGACAAAGATTACCATGTAAATGAAAACGCGAACGAGATCAAATCTTGTAGGAAAAGAGAAATGTTCAAACTCCAAACGATTTCTTATTATCACATCCGAAGAAAAAACCATGTAAACAGGAAATTTGTTGATAGAGGCTCAAAAATCAGGGTCATTTCAGGACCGGACTCAACAAGAGGCAAAACTAGTGCTAGAGTGCTTTAATCATTTCCCCACTGGTAGCACTTTCGCCAGTGACTTGTTTTTTTTTAAAGCACATTTAACGACTTTTTTTTTCGCAACTGAGCTTTTGTGCAAATGAAAACATGTTACTACGAGATCACGTCTTCCTGGGTATTCGTGTGCGCTCGCCAGAATACTTTATGGAATCCATGGAATATGGTTGTACGGGACCCAAAAAAATAACTGTCTACAAAGCCACAAACCTAAAATCAAGTGAACTTTCTACAGCCCGAGGTCCAATTATGAGCACTTTTTTTAGCGATTTAAAGGGCATATTTTGGGTAACTTATCAAACGAAAACATGAAAATCACAAACTGGAAATTCAGGATTATTGATTCATCAAATAATACAAAGCGAATAAACTGAAGTCAGCCTAACGGCACTGCGTTTTGAAATTTGATCCAAATTTGCCACTCGAAGAAAGAATTGGAAATTACAGCTGATTAATTTTAAAATAAACCGGAAAGAGTAATCGAAAACTCGATGCGCCCTCGCCAACTCCTCAATATTTTCTGTATAATTTCAAAATAAAAAAATAAAAACTGAAATTTTTGGAATGCTATTTTTTTGTTTCGTACATGGCTTTCAAAAAGTTTAGCTTAGATCCCCTTTGTTTTCTGACCTTTGCGAGCACATCCAAATCTGGGCTAGTAACAAAATTCCGAGACAAAGTAAGCTGTTGGTCAAAAAGTCCTTTGATTTTGCAGTAAACAAAAAAGCATAATCGCTCTAACTCCTGATGCACGTTGCTACTTTTGAATGACGGGAAAAACTTTTTTATTCTTTCGCCTTCAACATCACTGCTGGGGTTCTTTATGCAAACATAAACTTTATTAAAAAAATAACCCAATACCAATCACAATAAATCACACTAAAACACAAATAAACTAAAGATCGGAAAGCGCCCTGTCTGGTCGTGCCAGTCCATATACCTTCCAGTACTATCCTTTTCCTAGCCCTTCCAAGTTTCACTGTCGATCCATCATACGTTCTTATCAATCCGCTTACTGAGGCAATTTTTTGCCAGTAAACTTACTAGTGACGATATATGTATGAAATATGAAAACACATTAGAAAATTAAAAATTTATACTAGAAAATAATCTGATAAACCCTTGCAAACCAATCCGCTATCGTTTTCATCATCTTTCGGGTGTTCCTCATTTTCTAAGCTATTTTTCCATAAAACTCCGTTAATCGGAGCTTCAACCGTCTCTCAAAACCTATTGCACTTCTTTCAATACTTTTCCTTGTTTGATAAATTACCTCAAGCCCTTCTGGCCTCGTTTCACCCTTAATTGACTCGATCGTTTCTCTAAAGTCAGAGCTTTCTGCTCTAACATCCCCTTTCTACAAAACCAGTTCCTCCAAACTGTTTTGTGACTTGAATATCCAATGTTGTAGATCTTTTCATCCTTTCCTTCATCAAAAACGACTTTTTCCATGCCAAACTCGCCTCCCATTGACTCTTCTTCCAAACCAAACTCACCTTCTAAACTTACCTGCACTGATTTGATAATCGTTTCTTCCATCAACCGCTTTTTCAGTTTCCACCTCCGATACCCAAACGGTATCTCTTATACCTTCGAGGTCCCCTCCGGTTCTCTGAACTTCCTAAGGCTTTTCGCCCCGCCTCAACACCCATTTTATTGGGCCAGTTTACTGAAATACAAACTATATTAAAAAGTAACTCAGTGCTAAAGTACAACAAACGACAATAATGAACTAAAGATCGGGCATAACTCTGCCTGGCCGTGCGATCCATGCACCGCCAGTATGCTTTCCCTAATATCTTAAATATATGCATGTATATACTGTGATCGCTGGGTGGCAGTGCTCTCACCGTATGAGCATACAGCCAAGAAAAAAATAATACACAAAACATACAGTTTCGTGAAAAATGATAATTAGCTGGGTAGGTAGTTGCTGGGGACACAAAGTGAAAGAAAAGAGCCTGGCTTGGCTAAGCCCGGTGTGCAGGTACATCCCGATGATACCACGAAGTCCGGGTCGCCACACGAGCTATTTGCAAGGACTCGGCAGCCCAAGCGTTCCCCTTCATCAGACGACATTACATATTACACACAATATCAGTGACAGTACCAGGTGAAATAAACGCCTGGGCCACCAGCGCGCAAACCACCACGTATTGCAGCAATGGTCAAAGAGGCAAAGGAAACAAGCCAGCTGTCGCAATCGGAGCCCATTTTCAAAAATTATTCTGCATCAAAGGGGCATTGAAACACTTCTCTTCACGTCCGATGTAACGTTTTACCAGTACACCACCGATCTTTATGTTCCACGCATGATTTACACTTCAAACATATATATATATATATATATACTGCATGTTCATTGACCCAAACATATTTCTTTTGTCGGCTTTTCGCGGGACTTCCGCGACATCAGCTGCATTGGTGGAGTACTACTTTGTGAAATGAAACT